TTGTATCTATAGTGTTTCCCTATGATTTTTATAATTTTTATGACCCTCTTTCCTGGACACAGCTCTATGACTTCCTGTTAAGGGTCTATAGCATTTTTTATCTTTGCTTTAGCTCTAGAGCTGGCGAAGTTACTCAGTGAAGCAGGTTCCCTTAAGCTGGCAATGAGTAACAGGCCCACTTCTGTAAATCCAAAAACTAATACATTCTGAGAAATCTTTGCCCTCACAAAAACTTGATCACTTCTGACCACTGCTTGGCTATCTGTAAAAGTACCTTAGGAATTTTGCTTAATCATCTGTGCTGGGCTGTTTTCTCAGCTGGTGAAATTAAAGAGCCTTTTCAAAACTAGAGAGGTGCCATCAGAGGGTGAATTGCTGCAACAAATACAGAGAAGTAAGCCCAAGTACAAAACCACCCGGTTATCACAGAGGTTGCGGCCAAACCTTAGGAGGTGTTATACTGCAGGAGAATCATACTTTCTAGAGCAACCACAGAAGTGAAATAGACAGTCCAGCTAAGCTCACTACCTCTGCTGTGCTTCTGGGAGCCAGCTATGCCAGCTGTAAAACTGAGGCAAAGATAATTTGACTAACGTCAGTGCTGACAATGAAAGAACAAAGAATTCTGATGAAAGCCAGATCCACTCTATTAAAAAATTTTAAATTAAATTTTAAGCATACAGTTTGAAAGTTGGAACAGGATTAGTCAGGTAGATTACTGAGGAATCATTAATGGAAAAAGCTATTTAGCTGGGTCTAAACAGAATTATAAAGTTCTTGTAAGGGGCTCTGAGATTAATAGATCTGGCCTAGATTTTTTTTTTCCTGAAATAACATCCACATACAGTAATATTTACAATACTTTGGAAAGCTAGGACATTTTGAAACTAAGACAATGTCCATGTGTCTACAGCATAGAGTATGGATCTTGTGAATATTTAATATACTAGAAAGAGATCTGTTTTTCTAACTAGATCAGACCTGTTTTATAAGTCCAAGATATTCATGTATGTGGTCAGACTTGTGGCTAGTTACATTAATCAAACTTTTCAAGTCTTGTCTCAGTGCCATATTTTGGTCACATCACTGTAAGTTTCTGTAGCAACATAAAATATCATGAAGACATAATTAAACTTTACTTAAAAGAAATGTTCTGATATTTGCAGAACTAGAAACTTTGTCAGGACATTACAACATTTTGTATTATATTTAAAAAGCATATTTGCGTAAGTTTTTAACTATGGTGGCCATCAAAAAAATTCAATTTAATCCCAAAAATTTCTGTATGCCTTTGGAAATCAGATGAATTATTTAAGTCTGTTTAGAAGCTGAATGTTATCCGGTCAAACATGCATAATTATTGCTTAATAATAATAATAATGACTAATATAATCTCTACCAAAATAAAAAACTAACAAAACAAAAAGAAAAGTATTCCCTCAGTGGCCACTTAGAAGTGCTCTCACACATATTAGCTTATACACCAAACTAGCAATCAGATCACAAAATTGTGGTTCTTAGCTGATTCAATAAAAGATTAAAAAAATTGGGAATACTTCATAATTTGTTCACAATTAAAATGTAACTGGTACATGAATGAGTCATCTTATACCGTTATTCTCATTCTTGGCTTGGACAATATTTGTAATGAAAGATCTTCCTGTCAGACCAAATATGGAAGAATGTGGGGTATGTGCCTTCTAAATAAATAAATAAAAATTTTAAAAACCCTAAATGGGCCTATTTACCTTTCAAATTCAACAGATTCTTGGCCATCTGTTGCTCATAACATTGATTTTCATTCCTCTTGGCATCATACCTGCTAAAGTCAGTTCATATTAATGTCAGAGACGATGCACAAAGAATAAAAAATGTGTCTGCATTTCAGCTACTGAGGCTCCAGAGGAAGGAATACAATATTAAACCAGCAGATACCTGAATTCACCTAAAGAAACTCCATCTTGTCTGTACTTCATGGGTAGCCTTCTGTTTCTCTGTCTCTGAAGAGTTAATGGCTGAGTCAGGGTAGGAGGGGACAGCAGGTGTTTATTTTGAAGGTAAATATACTATTATGTAGCTCGTAGTCCAATGATCAGTATGTAAGTATACGAAGACTGGGGACAGCTGTGATGTACTGTGACAAACAGTGAAGTGTCATGCCCATTGATCTGTGAGCCCGGTGGAGAAGCCAGTCAATACCAGTAAAATTCATGAAGTGTTTCTTTCTGCCAGTTTGGCTGACACGCCATTGATGCATGCCGGAGAGCTAATGTCGTTAGCCAAGCTGTACCACTGCATCTGCCACTTCCACAAACCCATCAGTGACACCCATGGGTAAGATGGCATTTGGTTTATGCAGCCGATGACAAACCGATCAGTCGTTCTCAGCAGTCACCAGCAGTTTCTCAGCAATCTTGCAAAGATGAAGAAATGTGTGCTCACACAGTAGTAGGCTCTCATCCTTGCACATTAAACATGCATTGACCTGGTTTACTTTAATATGTGAATGTCAAGCTTCTGTTCCTCAATCACTGGTTTATGCAGCGGAGTTGACACAACACAGCTTCTATAAGTAATAGCCATATTTATCCCCTTTTCTCTCTACTTGTCTCTGTGCACCAACCTATGAACAATTTCCTGAAATTCAGCTATTTATCTTCTCAATATGAAATGAAACCTGATACATAATAACATAGGAAATGAAATCATACGTAATGCTGTAGGAGTGAAAACAGCAGAAAACCAAGACAAACAAATCTAGCAGCAATAAGCAACACACCTACCTTAATTAAACCCTCCCTTACATTTTCTTCTTTATTGGGATTGATTAATTTAGGAACTAATTCTGGTTTCAAGAAAGCCACCAGAAAAATCTCTCACTGACTGCCAAAACAGAATCTAGCCCACTGGTTTTCCACCTATTTTCTTTCATACTACCTAAAACTGAATCTCATCATATATACCAGCAGAAGAACAAAATGTGAGATTGCATGATTTTCACAGCAGATGAGAACACTCCATGTCTCTAGTAACAAGATGCTTTAGAGGAAGTGCATAAAAAAACATCCTTGCAGCAGCCTTTCCAGGATTAAGCAACTGGAGTTTTCACTCCCAGCACCAAATTCCCCTGGTGACTAGACTCCCAACATTTCCATAAAAACTCCCTGAGTCATCAAATTCAGTCCAAGAAACTGACTGCGGGCATGGAATTCAAGATGACCTGTTTTTCCCTGGTTACATTTTTGTCAAACACCCGTTGGCTAACACCCTCAAGCATGGAGCTTTGACATGACTTTAAAACCTCGTCTGTATTGTTTTCATACTTACTTTCAGAATTAGGTATTATAATTTTCCCTCTAAAGGTCAAATCCCTGAATGAAACTTTTTTTGGGCAGAGTCTCAGAAGATAAGGGTGCAAAAGTCTGTATCCTGAGTTGTCTGGCTGACATTAAGAGCAATAAAGTTCCTCATGGCCTGTAAACATATTACGGCAGATAACTTCTAAGATAAGCCTCATTTGACATGGAAAAGGTTGGAACAAACTGAATGTGTTTAAATGATGATTATGGACTTTCAAGACTCTTACTGAAGTCACAAAACATTTTGTACTAGAACAAAAGGCTGCCCTAAACTCAGTAAATGGTTGAGGAAGAAAGGTGTGACTATAAATGAACCTGTTGGAAAACCACTGTCACTGCCTTCACTGCATGCTGAGACTCAAAATATTACCATCGCACTGCTGGGCCTCTGTTCTCCTTATCCTGAAAATCTGGTTAGAAAGAGGAGTCACATTCATCTCCATCAGGGGTGGCTAAATCCTGAGCAACATCTAAGAAATGAAGTTCCTGCTCAAATGAGCTAAAATCTTCTCTCACCTTATTCTTTCCACACTTTCCATTTTCTGTTCTCCACCAAAAAGAAGAAAAGAGCAGAAAATGTTATTGTCCCTCAACAGTACTGCTGACTTACTCCTCTTTCCCCAGTACATCCCCAGGGGTCTGACAAAAGGAAGAAGCTGAAGGGAGAGGGGAGCTTAAGATAATTTGGAGGGAAGGGCAGCTAAGGTGAGAAAGGGATGACCAAAATCATTGTGGGAGTCTGAGGTGGCAGAGCAAGCAAGGAAAACATTGAATTTGTCATGAGCAGCTCAACGTAGCAGGAGAAAAAAACATGTATGTTTTGGACAGAGAATATATTATTTGCTGCAATAATCTAGAAAATTTACTGAGCTTCAGCATAAATACCTGACCAATGGTACAGTGGTATATACATTTGAAAGCAGGATGGTTGACTGCAGCCTCTTTCTCTGACCTGGATAGAAGGGCTTGTGTTGTACAGCTTGGCAACATGGCCGCTTTTCCAGACTTCCAGGGGATGTTCAATCGCTGCTGAATTCGTTTCACTAACTTTTCTGCTGTGGGCATGACATGTCTGTAAATAGTACTTTTTCTGTGTCTATTCATTGGGGAATTCTCCAGGCCCAGTAAAGGAGCCACCAGTGTCACAAGTGGTTGTAGAAAGGGTTAGGAAACCATGAGTAAAATGGCATAGGAATATGGGAACGAAAGAGTAAAGAAAACTAGAAGAAAAATAGCGAAGCTGTGAGCATTAATATTCTGAAACACCCTTTTGAAGGGAGGAGGAAGGGAAGAGTGAATTAAATTTTTGGAGTAACATATCATATAATTTCTGATAGAATGATTCTATCTGATTAATTAATTATTCTGAATGAAACAACAGCTTTTTGGGGGGGTAAAGGGAAAATTTTTTTTATTCTTAAACTTCAAGAGTAAATAGTCATCTTCTCTATGTAACATTCAGGGTTTTAGCTTTTTTAGCATCCCTGCTTCAGTCAAAACCAAAAGATCTAATTTCAAGAGTGTTTGAGGAACTTTTAGAAATAAGAAATACCAGTATTGCCTCTGCTTTCAGGATATCACAGAACAGTTGTTAAATTACGGAAACATATCACAGAATAAGCTAGAATTTGTGGAGCTTACCTTCCTACGATGGGATGGCACAATAAAATATGTTTCAATATTATGCTTCTTCAAGAAACTATTCCTTTCATGACCATATCCTGGTTCTACCTCGTAGTCCCCATTTAGGCACTCTAAGGTGGTCTTTGTAATGTGAACTTTCCTGGAGAGAAAAATCAGACGTTGTTGTTGAAATTGTTGTTGAATTATGTACTGAAATACACTCCTGTGCAGAAGATCATAAAGAGGTCAAGTTACATGCAAAACCCCATTTTTGATGTTTTGTTTTGTCTTTTCAGCCAAATAGAACATAGAAGTATTTCTATTACATGCATTTTCTAAACTTGAGCAGGGTGAACAGAAAGATAACTGTTGACTCTCCAAACTTGCAGATTTGTTGATTTGTAGAAAGTGAAAGTCTGCACATCATCTTCCATGTTTTGTGGCTTTCTTAAGTGTTTACCTCACTGCCTGCTTGGAAAAACATCCTGCTGTTTGAAACCTGTGATTTCACACTCCGAATCTCTCCTACGCATAAAGGACAAACTTCTTTTTCTGTTCCCCTTCATGTCCCTGACTTTTTTCATTTACTCACTCTGTTTTGTAGGCAGCTTTCTAATTCACTTTGTTTTGGCAGCACAGCCATCTTTGACAGTATTTGTGAGTTTTCTTAACCCAAAAAGTGTCTTCACATTTTCTCCCAAAAGCCCCCTTATATTTGAAATGTCTTCACAAAACATATCTGAAAAGCTATTACTGCTTTCCTCTATTAAACATGTGTTCAGATTTTTATCACTGGAAAGCCTTAAGGTAAGGAATGTACAAAATAACACTGCCAAAATTGTCTAAGGCAGACATAGGTAACAAACAGAAATTCACTCATCTTAACCACAAAAAATTAAGAGTTTCCATTTCCTCCCGTTCAGCAAATCATGACCTTGTAAAAACCCAACAGAGGATGGTACGTCCCAGTCCAAATGTGAGTTGCACACAGAAGCACACCCATGCACCTTTGCAAAAGTGCACTGTGTGCATTTAAATTGGGTCCAAGGCTGTCCAAGGAGTACTTAAAATTCCAGGATGTGCCCCATGGGTTGGCTGCAGGTTTATGTGCTACCGTATCATTTGTACACACACCAGCGATATCTGAGTGCATAAACAAGTATTTTTTTTGTATAGCACGCTACTAGTGTTGGAAATCTTGCCATGTAAAAGGAGTAAGGCACCCCCCACACATATCTAGAGGTGCAAGGGTAAAAATTTCCTGGAATAACTAGAGGGTTTTACTTTTACAACATGAAATGGTGAAAGTCTACCATTCCTACATTCCTAGCATTGCCTCATTCCTACTCTTTGTATTTGGCAGCTTCTAATAAGGATTTCGTTTGGAAATGTTTTGCTTCTAATCTCACCTATTACTAACATAAATATCAAGATCATTTGGAGAATTCCACAGGATAAATCACATAATACATTGATTGCTCTTACGAACACAACCCTTCTTATCGAGAGCAATTCCATTGCAAATGCCTCAAAGAAGGAAATAAATTCTTCACCCATACAGGTTTCTGTTTCTTTTTCTATGGTTCTTTCTCAGACTTACCCAGGCAGTCCTCCAGCTTCCATTACATTAGCTAAAGTCACATCATTTGACCAGACATCATATTGCCATTTTCGGAGACCCAGGACCCCACAAAGCACCCTGCCTGTATGCAATCCAACTCTCATGTTGAGATCAACCTCTGTGGCTTCTGCAACAGATCTGGAATAGACAGCATCAGAATATTAGTCTTTAGACAATGACATTCCTCTTGATTTTCTTTTTATCTCCTTTGCCCAAAGTTAACGTATATATACATGACTGAATAGACAGGATCTTTTAAAAATCTCAAATGATATATTCAGGTACTGTTTTTTTCCTTCACTAGTTTCAAAACCCCAACTGTAATTCCAAATAATTTTCTTGGTCATATTTTAATTACTGTTGAACCAAAATCTCAGTATTTCTAAATTTCTTGACCTAATAAATTAAAATTTAATTTTACAGGTTTCAAGGAAACCCAGAAAAGGTTATGTTTCGTTACATTTAATAAAATAAAAAAAGAAAAAAAAAGGGACAATAAAGCAAGTGTAGTAAATGGCTTTGTCATGAAACTCCCCTAAGACTATAACTTTTAGGTTTTATTTGCCACTTTTGCAGTATTTGCTATCATGGTCCTACAGAAACTTAGATATTTTACTGGGAGATAAACAAAGATTTTTCTGACTGTAACTCAAATAACTCTGAGACAGCCAGCTTAACTCCTGCACTTTCCTGATTATCTCGTCTCTCACACATATTTACTGTTTTTTGTCATAAATGTTCCTTTTTCCCAATGCATATTTTTTTTTCAAGCAACCACAATGTGACTGTTGGAATCAAAAGAAGATTTTTGAAACTATCTTATTAGGCTTACTTTTAACCTGACATGTAAGTAAGAAAACATGTTTCAATTCTATCATTACTCCAGACTGCTTTCAACTCAGTATTAAAATGGGGTACCTGGCTTCTTTTTACCAAAAATCTCTGTTAATATTTCTCCTTATCCTAGCCTTGGGTTTACTAGTTGGTGGATTTTTCTCTCACTAATTCTTTTCTACCCCCACCTCTTCACTCATATAAAAATCATGCTTGATCCTATATGGGCTAACTGAATTTCATCATGAAGGAGTTTAATATTAAACATTAAGGAAAAGATTGGTCTTGTGAGTAAAATATAAACTTGAGTCACTTAAGACTTCCATTTAATTTCTCTCCTCTTTTACCACAGTTCATTGTAACTCAAAGTAATATTATCCTCTTTCGGTTCTCCATCTGCAATATCAAAATAATACTTTCTTTTCCTTACTTCTTTTGTTTGCAGTGGCTTGATCTCAAGGTAATAGTGTAAAACATTTAATTTGTTATTAAACTAATATAAAATAATCTGGGAAAAAAGCATAGTATGGACCCCAACACTTCCTCTCTGTGCAGCACAGAGGGTTAAAAATAATTTAAAACAAGTTATTGTCTCATCTATGTTGTCATAGTTTAGATTTGTGATGTTCTCTAAGTTCATCATTTAATTAAAATTCCACTTGAATGAAAACTCACTCAGTTAAAAATCAACATTTTTTTTCCCAAGTGTCTCAGACTGTCAGTCTTCTTGGATGATACTTATTTAATATTTCATGATGTTTTTTTCAACTGATATTTTCACCCTATGCTACTGCTAGGAAACTGTTGCAACTACTAGTAATCAGACAGAGTTGTGCTGTGCCTTTATCTTCATGGTATGCTCAGCTAAGCATCATTTCCTATGGTGAGACTGAAAGGGCACAGACTTATATTTAAATGCTCTTATGGTTTCTGCGAGAAAAGAGGTATGAAGAGGTACATTTGAGGAGGCAAATGGATAAGCAATGACTCCACTCTACTATGTTCTAATCGGTTCAATTACCCAGTTACAGGAGCACAGGACAAAGAAAATAATGAAACCAATAAATCAGTGCAAGAACAGCAGACGAAGAGTGATTATAAATACTAATATCTTTACAAAGTTCCTGCGAGAGTGGCACAGAAACCACCTGTAACTATGGACTTGCACCTGTAAATTAAATCTAACCTTCAGAGATTTTCATTGTGTAGCTGGGAAAGGAGGAATTAATTGGCAAAGTCATTATTAAAAGCATTTTTAATTTTGGTGCCACAGTAAGGAAAGATTCTTCATTTCTGTGAATGAAGGACATGCTATGACTCGCACCCTGCACTGACTTGTGAACACTGAAAAGGAGCCTTGAAGCTAATAGTCTTACACATCACATGCAGAGATAACACTGTGCATAAATCGTTGCAGCTTTTTCTGTTACAGAGACACCTGGCATTACACAGTTAAGTTGCGGTCCAAAAAGAGATAATATCGGTGAATAAATGAAACTGACTAATTAGTGTAAGACTTGATTTTCATTAGGTTTTTAAATTTAAATTTTCCAATGCATTTATTAGGAGAAGACCTTAAACTGAGGCTCTGGCTATAATTTTCCCTTGATCTTCATTGACCTTTATATTTTTTAAAGTATCACCCAGCTACACTGCCTTTGGCAGAGAGGTCTTTAGGAGGACTTTTCAACTATTTCAGGAGTAGTCACTGTATTTGTCTCTTGTATAGTTGTACTTGTTTAAATACAATTAACAGAAAGGGCAGCATAGGTCAAGATATGGGGTGAGCAGCACAAGATACCTTGTGCTAAATTTAAGTAAGGAAATCTGCAGCCATGAAGTGCTGAAGTATATATCATGTCACAGCCATCACTAATGTGAGTAACGTGGAGATCTCCATAGGGGATCTGGGCATACCACATTTTTCAGTCATATTTTATGCAGCAGCATAGGAAGGCTTATGCACAGCTTTCTGAAAGATTAAATATTTCTTTGTCCTATTTCTACTTGCTGCAAGTCAGCTTTCCTTTATTCAGTATCTGTTCCCAGTCAAGCCTCAAAAATGACTCCAAGTAGTCCTAAAAGAACTCGAGCGTTACAGGGCTTGTTGTGCACACTGTCTGCTTAACAAAGCCTTCAGAAAATGAAAGGAGTTAATAATATAAGCCACCTAATGATAACTTCACCTTTGTATCTTCACCTGTGCATGTGTATTGTGCCATTAACCAATTGGCCTTACACCAAGACCATACCTGCAAGCCAAAGCCCTTCAGGATTACACCTTCCTTGCCTGTCTATGTTTTCCTGCATAACTAAGTACCTATGTAATTATCTTCATCAGCAAACCTGCAAGTGTGTGAGTTTCTCTGTTCACAAATCAATGCTAATTTTTTTTTTCCATTTAAAACATATTTTTCCATATAAAACCTCAGGCTAAATGTAAGTGGAAAGACAGTGAATAAAGACAGTGAATTAAGAAATTGATAAAGATCGCTCCAGACCTTTGACCTTGCTCTGTCCCAACTGGCTTGAGAGAAAGGGGGAAATTTCATCTGCTTTTAGAAATTTGAATAGCATAATAAAAAGTAAATGATAAGAAATGATACTCCTTGTCAAATAAGCTAGACCTTATAATGTACCCATGAACCATAAAGCAGAACCTGAAAACACTTTATGTTTTGAACAACAGATTTTCAGAAGTAATCACTTACTAAATCTAAATCGAGAACACAATTCTACATTTTACCCAGAAACTACAGTGTGTTTCAGGGGTGCTTTCACCATTATTAAATTTGAGTAGGAAAAAAACCTCATGAAAAGTTCATTAAACTTTTTGAATTTACCTTGAAGACCTGTGTGCCTTTTCTGCCATTCATTTTCATTAATATACCCCACTGAACTATCAAAAATGGGGAATGTTAAGTAATATATAAAAAATAGGCTTCAAATATAAAATCAGAGCAGTACCACCATCATATTCCCAAATAACATCAACATTTCTACACTAAAATATCACAAAAGTGTCCAATGATGCATTTTAAATTATAAATACATTTCTGAAAAAATATGAGCACTTCACAAACAAGCCATGAATAGGAAAAAGAAAAGAAGTTTCTCAAATAAATTATTCATTATAACCTACTCTCTCCGAGGTTCAGATATAACATACTGAAAAGTTTTCCAAATGTTAACACAAAAGTAGGCCCAGAAACAAATGGAAATCAAAAAACATTTTCTTTTTAAACCAGAAGCATGCAGAATCTATGTAAGTGACTAATAAGATAACTATCTACCCTGACAGCTCAAGTATCCTACTAAGCCTTGAAATTTTAGTTCTCTCCTTAGTTACAAATATTTCATGTGCAGCATATGAAATACAAACCGTCAAAGTCATTTAGATCATCTGCAGAACAGCTCCAGACCTGTGCTGCATTTGAAGGAAAAAAAAAAAAAAAGCGCTGCATCCCAATTCTTATAAGTTATTTAGGGCTTTTCTTTAGGTCCAAAAATATCTGCATAGAAATAGATGTTTCCTGGTTAAAGGCATAGACAAGATTTTTGGTTCAGTTACATACATTTGCTTTTTATATATGCATGGTTCTAAGATAAGGGTGCCCTTTAATTTTGCATGTCTCCCTAAATGTTTCTGTGTCAGTTCCATTTCAACATCATCAGGAACATTCTTGGATGTTAATGACAAAGACTATCTTTCTGTGAACTGCTCTGTCAGCCCAGCAGGCCATGGAAAGAGAGGCTGTAGGCCATAGCCTAGAGCACCAAGTAACACCCGTATGCTAGGCCCCCTTGCCCTCTCTCTGATATGCCTTCCCACAAGGCGGGGGCCATGTTAGTCCTCTCAAGACAATTAAGTTTTGTTGTTTGAAAACCCTTGCTGTGCTGTTTCAGCAGCTGTTTCTCCAGGTCAGGTTCGGGTTTTTTTGGTTTGTTTGTTTTTTTGTGGTTTTTTTTTTTAAATATTGACCAGAGCTGCATGCTTTCCCAGTACGTTGCTCACCTAGAGCATGGCAGCAGAGAGATAGGGCACAGCAGAGAGATAGGGCACAGCAGAGAGATAGGGCACAGAGCCTGGGCTGTGAAGGTCTGATGGCTTCAGCAGTCAAGAGGCTCACTTCGGCAGAGGTGCAAGCTGACTAAGCTTTCACCAATGGTGGTGAGGTCAGCTCACGGTAGACAGCTTTCTCCACTGCTGAAAATGCTGTTGCTGGTTCTCCCAGAATTCAGGGTCAACTACTGCCAGTCCAAACTTTCCCAGGCCCTGGACCTCTGGAGGACCGGGGGAAAAG